CCATAATGAATAAGTTTCACTTTCAACTTGATCTACTCTACTTCTCTAGATAATTTCCTACTTGGGTACCTGGTAGGTGATAGGGGTGAGACTATAATTTCTATGCATAATGGTAACTACCTGAGAATGTTTAACCTATGCTTTCCTTCATGGTCACGTAGCAAAACTCTCAAATCATTTGATTCCTCCAAAATGCTTCTAGACTGTGCAGAACTTAAATATGGGGAGTTTGCTCTATTTGTACATCAAGGCATTCTCTCTCCAACAATCAATTATATCGTACTGGCTCTAGGCCAGGGTTTCCTATTGCATTCTGGAAGCACAATTTAGTCTCCCTTTTTCAAAACAACAAGAAAACAACACCTTGAATAAGCTGAAGACCATAGCTCTGAATTTCTACTACCTTCTTTGCAGAGTTGTCGTGGGCAGAGCCAAAAGGTGGAGAAGGAATGAGTGCTCATACACCATCCAAATACATCTGGGAAGTTGATGAAAGGTTGGACAACATGGAAGAGTCCTCCCCACTTACCCACATCACTTTGCCCAAGTGTCCCTTCCATCACTCTTGTGAGTGAATAAGGAAACTTCGACCTTATGAGCTAAGAATTGAGACAAAATAAGCAAGGCTATGGCAGGATCGCCATCAGTACCCCTTTATTATTACTGCCTGAGGTCCCAACTAGCACCTCTACAAGCAGTGCACAGGAAGGCCTGCGCTGGGCATCAGGCTGCTTCATTCTCTCACTGGCCAGTCATGTGGTCAATCACAATGTGCCTTCTCCTAAAGCCAACCTGACATTCTCCCTTATGGGATCTCTAGCCCTGCAACTCTGAGCTTTCCGGAGGATGAGTTCATGTGAGAAGACCGGGGCGGGCATGCATATGGCTCCTGTCTAAGGCAGGGACAGGGGTGCTGCCTGATCCAGTGTTGTCTGAGGACCCTGCACTCTTAGGCCTAAAACAAATGAACTAGGAAGGCTCTGGACTTGCAGTGATTTCTGCAGACATGTAACATTTAAGTAGATTCGGGGTGATTTGTGGATCTTGGAGTTGGAATATGTCCTTTTTTGCTATAATTTTTGACAATTTCAGTAAGAAAGAAAAAATTATCAGGGTGCGGGACCTTTCTGGGTATAATATTCAAAGCTCTGCTAAAAAGGCCACATAGCCTGCGACACTCCTTTAGGCCCAGAAGAACTATCGTTGAAAAATCCACTAGAAATGTCCCACTGTGCTAAGTTCCCCCATTCGGCAACTGGCATAGTCATGGATTTTCTTCTTCAGGTCAACTCAAAGCCAAGTACATAGTTCCACCACGAGTTCCATGGAGCCATGAGTCCTGGTGACCGACTGGCTACCAAAAGCTGGAGACAGAGCTTGTCACTGGAAGTCGAGCACTGAGGCAGACACCAGAGGAGAGGGAGGATACTGGCCCTTAGAGAATGATCACCACCTCCACCTGACTCCCACCTTCACACCACTTGCAGCTCATGGCTTTTCTTAAGCACATAAAAGGCATTCTGAAGGCAAGTGACCTCCCTGGGTGGCAGGAAAGAGAGGATCCTAATACTCTTCTGAATCAAAGAAAAAAAAGGAGGGGGGTAGGAGGGACACACTTCCAGTTTCAGACAAGTTGGAGAATGTTTACGTTGTGTCCAGAGCACTCCAAACTTTCCTGAGTTTTGATGGAGAGGTCCCTAAGGGTTGAAATGGCAGGGATCAACCACTTCTGGTGGAGAATGTCCTGAATCATTGTGAAAACATTTCATTATTTCATGGAACAAGGTCTTTGTCTGTAGTTTACCAGCAAGGCCTGAAAGATGTCACCTTTGCTCAGTAAAAAATTGCGAAGTTAAAGTTTTGTGTGTGTGTGTGTGTGTGTGTGTGTGTGTGTGTGTTTAATTTCTATGGGTTCAATATTTTCCTTCTAAACAGTCTCAAGGTGAACCGAGAGGTTTAAAATAGTGCATAATATATTATTAGTGTTGGTTAAGATATTAGTCACATAATATTCTTGGATTTGTACTTCCAGAGCATCTTCCACACAAGAATTTCCATCTCCTTTCCAAAGCTAATATTTTTTCTGATGGGTTAAAATAAAATGGAAAAGTCCAAAGATATTAAATCTGTGCCCTTTAAAAACTCCTTTCTTTCCTAGACAGCTGCTGGACAAGTTACTTTCCCTCTCTGAATCCAGCTTCATCATTCATGAAAATGGGAGGTCAGACACCTTCCAGCATTTTTCCCCCCACAAGATGTTTTATTTTTTAAAATACATTGGTATTGGTTTCAGAGAGGAAGGGAGAGGAAGAAATAGAAACATCAATGATGAGAGAGAATCATTGTCTGACTGCCTCCTCCATGCCCCACACTGCAATGTGCCCTGACTGGGAATTAAACCATGACCCCCTGGGTCATAGGCTGATGCTCCCTGAGCCACGCCGGCCAGGCACCTTCCAGCTTTAACAGTCTAATTTTGTTGGGAAATATGTGGCCCAGCTAATATACCATTCTTCTTCAGAAGAGGCCTGAGCTGTTTAATTACAGCAGATCTTGGCATTTACATATTTGACATCTGTGGTTTTGACTACTCCCAGAGACCCCAAAGGTCCATGAGCTCCAGTAATCTGTTATGTTGCAGTGGCGTGCCATGAGCCTGGGCTACAGGAGCTAGTCACATGTTCAGTGAGTGAGATTAACGTGCTGGCAGAACCCACAACTCTGTGAGGTTTTGCTATTGTCAGCTCAAAGGCCACGATTCTCATCGTGTACAGCAGTGGTAGTAAAAAAAAAAAAAAAAAAAAAAAAAAAAAAAAAAAAAAAAAAAAAAAAAAAAAAAAAAAAAAAAAAAAAAAAAAAAAAAAAGGTAGGGATTCTTCTCAATAGTATCCCTCTCAAATGTCAAGAGTTTATTGTAATGTGAGTTTAAATTAATCATGTACCCACCCCCATGTCATCTATTTCACTACTATCCCAATGGCTACTCTGAAAACTTTAGTGGTGTCATGCATACAACAAGGATTATTCATGGGACAAAGAAATCTGGAACCAAGCTTCTGCTCTCTCAAAAACTACCCTTCAGTGCCATTGGTGAGTAGGTACCGAACTAAAGGAACCACAAGTCTGTCAAATTATGGCCAATGCTGTGGTCTTGATGTCATTTAATGCCTGACAGTAACCTCTTATATACTGGCATTGCCATAAATGTGTATAAAATCTCACGGAGTTATCTTCCCAGCGTAGGCCTGTCCTTCATTTGTATGTATAAACACTCTCCCCAGAGCACATATAAATGGATCATATTTTATAGATGGCGCATGTTTTTACTTACGCTAACAGATGACTATCCTTCCCAGCAAAATGACTAAACAGAGCTCTAATAAATCAATTTGTCAGTGGCTATTTCACTTCAGGAGACAGTATCCCCTGACCCATCTTTGGCTGGTGCAAACATGACCTACATTGAGTGGCCTATGTCAATAGTACAAAAAAATCCTAGAGCTGGGAGGCACTATAAAAAGTTCTGGCTCTGCCTGCATGCAAGAAAAGTGTTGTTATTCCCACTTTACAGATGAGACTATTTAGTTCTAGAGCTAAAACTAAATGACTTGCCCAAAGTCACCTTATTAGGAAGAATCTGAAAGAACAAGAACAGAGTTTCCTGAATGACTCACTCAGCTCTGTTGTCAGCAGAATTCAACCTCTTTTAAGCCCTGTCCAAAGGCTAGACCTGGGGAGAAGCTCGTCTATGGCATCTCTTTTTCAGATCTATGGATCCTCTTTCCCATGAGTTCCTCTGCTCTACTGGAAGTTTATGTTTTCACCTCCCACTTAAAATGTTTCTTGGAGCAGTTTGACACACACACACCCATTTCTATATACTTCCTTTGCTCTTCACACCTTCTCCTGCCGCTGCTTACCATTGTGGTCACCACAGGAACTTAGAGACAAGGTTCCCCTTTCTCATCCCCATCCTTCTTGGCCACCCTAGAAAGTCTACCCTCCCATAAGCTGCAAATCCTGGGGAAAGTCATTCTATCTTCTCAGCTATCTATCTGAAAGAGGACAGAGGGTCCAGCATAAGAAGGTTCAATGGGGAGAGTTACAGAGGCAATACAGATGTAATACCCACAGTATGAGAAGGACTAAAAGGGGCCTTAACCTAAAAACTATTTCAGGAGAATCCCAGACTGTGAAAAGAGATGACCACACAGAAGATGTGTTTTCTCCCACAATTCTCAAAAGGCATCTCCTTCACTGTTTAGACAGAATTTGGAGCTTAGACCTGTGACTAAAGACAGTGGCTGCTGCCCTGGGAGCTCTGCTCCTCCAACATACCTCCAGTACTCAAGCCATACTGACTCATCTCACCTAGACTAGGCAAGCCTCATTGAAGAGCCTACAAGCATTTAAACAGATTGCAAAGATTCAATCAATTTTGCAATTTCCAAATTGAAGGAGAGGTACCTGAAATCTGGTTGTACAATACTACTACAATATGGCACTGGGGCGGAGGTCTGGGGGGAGTGGGGGAGCCAGTGTCACTTGTTTTCTTGAGGATGTCCTGATTGGGCTATCACTGTCTCAGAGTGAAAAGGGTTGGCTTCAAAGCTCATAGAATCTCTTGGCACAAGGAGAGCAGGAAGGAGACACCCAAGTAATCTCCTAGCTCTTGCTTAATCACAAGAATTCTCCAAAATCTGATATCAAAATTTCTGTCACCCCACACCTCCACCAGCCAGGTTGTGTTTCAGCAGACAAAAATCGGTGTCCTGAAATCCTATCTCAGGATTCCTTGCCTAGAAACATTTTTAAAGAGAGAAAACTGAAGGAGAGTTTGGAAGCAGAAACTGCCAGTAGTGTTTGCTGATCCTGCGTACCTGTGATGGAACCAAAGTTTTATATTAACACAAAGCCAAGGAAATTTTTAAAAAATGGTGCAGAAGGATAGAAGGATATGGCAAGGGATAGCAGGGGATAGAATACTGAAAGTTACTTACACAGTTTCATTATTCTTGAACTCCAACTCCCCATATATGTCTTCAAAATCCTCACCACCACCCCTGGCTGTCCCTTCCACTGTCCTAAAGGGGACGATGACTGTGCCGTTGGCACCTGATGTCCGCAGAACCTTGACCTCCATGACACCAATACTCTCACTGATACGAATAGTGTCACATTCAAAAGTGAAGATGCCTGCATGGTCATCATCCAAGATAGTGACTTTGGCCACACAAGGGGACACCAGGACAGCCCTGGAAGGCAAGGGAAGATTATTCAGTATTGTTGGAGCCATCCCTTCCTCTTGCTGCTCATCCTCTATGCGGACATTGCTTAACCTCACAAAGAAGTATTCGTCCTCCTCAAAAATGTCATCATCAATGATGCCCACAGAGAACTCCTTCTTGGTCTCTCCTGGCTTCAGAACCAGGGTGCCCTCTGTGAACTCATAGTCAGCCCCTGCATTGGCAGAACCATCCTCTGTTTTGTAGTCCACATACATGATCTTGGATGTGTCCCCCCCTTTCCTCACCACTGTCAGGAGTACAGCCCCACAGTTCTCCAGGCAATGGTAAGAGCATGGGTCAAAGAAGACCTTGGAGGCAAAGTCCTCAGGCTGATCAGCGTGCACCTCACTCATAGCAGCGGACTTCTTGGCTTGTTCTGCAGCATGTTTCTTCAGGATATTGCCTGCACCAATCATCATACGGATGGCTTGAATCCGGTAGAAGGCGCGGCTCTTCTGTTGATGGGAAAGAGCATAGTAATTGGCCATCTCTACCAGCTGATCTAAATCCTTCTCTGGATATTTTTGCTTCAGATCCTTGAGAATCCGGATCATCTCCCTTCGGGACTCATCCACCTCTTTCCCTTCTGGTGGCACCAGATTCCCATCTAGAAAGTGGGAATTCATCATTTTCCCATCCATCTCAATGCTCTTGGAGTGGCCACCCTCTGTCTCTATGATAATTCCTCTGTGTTTATCTGTACGGTACCTTTTGTGCATGTATTTGTAGAATAGCAGTCTCCTATCTGCTATCCAGGCCAGAAGCACACACACTGGGAAAAAAAAGAGAGTGAGGAGGCCTTCCCAAACCTGGACCACACCAGGAGAGAAGACTGCCAGGATCATATAGAGCCAGATATAGGCAAAGATGCTCCAAGCAGCAGTGACGAAGAACACTCGTAGGTGCTTGATCTTACGAGTCTCTCCATCAGGGATCACATACACACAGATGGCAATGATGATGAACATGTTGTAGGATGCACTGCCTACGATGGTAGAAGGTCCCAGATCACCAGCAATGAACCCGTGACCACACACCTCAATTAAAGTGAGGAGGATCTCAGGAGCAGAGGAACCCAGAGCCATAAGGGTCAGGTTGGAGACAGTTTCATTCCATATCCGAATCATTGTTGTGCTGGTCTCTCCATTGGGCTTTTTGATAGTCACTTCTGTCTCTTGAGAAGTAATGACTTCAATAGATGCCATGAAGCGGTCAGCAATGATGGATACCCCAAGGAACATGTATATCAGGGCCACAAAATAGACAATGACCCTGGCAATCTTATCCCCAAGGGAAGGGTTCTCTGGGTACCAGATTGGTAATATGACACCCTCCTTGCATTCCAATGACCCCCAACAGGATTCATTGTTCTGCCCTGTGCTGGGCACATCCTCTGAGCCACCAGTCTCTGCTCGAAGACCATTCAGGAAGAGCACAAAAGTTATCAGCCCAAAATGGAGGAAGGCAGAGGTGAGAGGCTGCAACCTTAACCACGCCATACATGAGACTTAGCCACTGGCTTCCACTGCAGCACCAATGGTCCTCCTGACAGGCCAGAGACCTAGAAAAGACCAGAGAGGTAGGAAAAGGCATGAGGAAAAGGGAGACAGCAATGGCAGATTCCCACCAATACAAACGGGTATTTCATCTTGGATAACATATTGCACTAACATATGGGGCAGTCTCTCACTTGGAAAAATACATATCAGTGGGAGACACAAATAGCTGCTGTGTCCTCAGGACCATCTGGTGGAGACTCGGTTGTAGAATGGCTTAAAATAGCTGGGAATATTGGTAATGGAAACATAAGTGATGCCATCTTGTCCTGTCTCCCAACCCTACTGTTATCTGTGAGAATTCTCAAGAATCAACTTAAGCCCAGGTGTTGCTCAGTTGTTGAGAGTTGACTTATGAACCAGGAGTTCACAGTTCAATTCCCAGTCAGAGCACATGCCCAAATTTCGGCCTTGATCCTCAATAGGAGGCATGCAGGAGGCAGCTGATTAATGATTCTCTCTCATTATTGAAGCTACTATCTCTCTCACCCCTTCCTCTCTTAAATCAATAAAAATATATTTTTAAACAGAATCAACTTAAAATAGGCCAAAGATGGCCTGAATTTTCATCCCCACTTATACTATTTCTAGGGTTTTCAGTCTTCTTTACCTCAATGTTATCATACTCAAGAATCTTGCATAACATAGGTTTGCAAGACTTGAACTTATCATAAGCTAAACTCCAAAATAGGACAACACCTTGTCTATGTGTAATTGAGCCCTCAATGCAAAACTTCTGCAGGCAATCTGTAATTCTGAGAGTGCTTGGAAGATCGAGAGGATTGATTCTGAAGTGAGTGCTTCCTGCAGTGTAGCTAAAACAAAGTCCTATAAGTTGTGCCTAAGACCCAGTCCACAGCAGCTCTTAGCCCTCGAGCAAAACATGCTTATGAAAGAGTTTTGGTTTCCAGTTACAGGAAGATGAAGATCAGTCAGCCACTCAAATTCCAAACCAAATCCTGAAAGAGCCAAGTGGTAGAAATCACTATTAATAAAACGTGCAAGTGGCTCTCAAATGTTTTTAACTGGAGACAAGATTTCGGGGTAAAATGCAGCCTCATCTGGAGGCCTCAAGCCATTAAAAGGTGAATTCAGAAGAATGGAAAGAAACTCAACTGAAACTAAGACTCATCCTTCCACTCATTGCCTCATTCAGGTCAAATGAGAATGCAAATAACCATGCAATAGCTTTATTTTATTTATTTATTTATTTATTTATTTATTTATTTATTTATTTGGCTGGGTAGAGTGAACTTTATTGATGGTGCACGACAAAGTAGGGCTCCCTATGCCCCTCACCTTCTTCAGGGGGTCTGGGATGGAAACGGTGGTCAAGAGATTCTCAGTGTGTTCAGGGACTGATCTAGGGCAAGGACTCCCCAGCAGATGAGGGCCTTTCTTCCTCTACCATGCAATAGTTAAAAAAAAAAAAAAAAAAAAAAAAAAAAAAAAAGACTACTTGCCAATTTTTCTTCTATTGCTATAACCATGTTGGGAACTTCTAGTAATAGAGAAATGCTCATTTCCATCCAGACCTGCTCCTCCTCCTCTGCTGTTTCCCATCTCAGAAAATAACACCTCCATCCACCCAGTTACTCTGGCTAAATCTGCAAGCCTTCCTCTCTGACCTGCCCCTTATCCAATCCAGCACTAGATCCTATGAACTATTCCTTGGCCTCTATCACCACCATCACAGCCCAAAACACCATTACTCCTCACCTGATGAATCTATGCAGCAACCACCAAACTGAACTCACCACTCCAATTCTTGCCATTTTCTAGTATATGTCCTCATATAGCCACACTAATCTGTTTTTAAAAAGCAAAACAGCCCTAGCTGGCTTGGCTCAGTGACTAGAGCGTCAGCCTATGGACTGAAGAGTCCCAGGTTCGATTCTGGCCAAGGACACATGCCTGGGTTGTGGGCTCAATCCCCAGTGGGGGTGTGCTGGAGGCAAAAGATCAATGATTCTATCTCCTCTCTTCCTCTCTGAAATCAACAAAGAAATATATTTAAAAAACAAAAACAAAAACAGAACAAAGACTTACAATACCACTTCCTTCTTTTCTCCCTTTATCTCCTGCTATTAATTCTCTTACTGCACTTCAGCAACCATGAACTTCATATCAGGTTGTTTTCCACCTCAGGACCTTTGCACATGACATCATCCATGCATTCCTGAAATGACTGTTACTTCTTTGCATCCCCATTCTTAACAATCCAGATCATAGCTTAAGTTGCCTTCTCAAGAAAACTTTCCTTCGCCCCCCACAAATGGTCCAACTCCTTCTGTTATGTTCTCTCATCACACTCTTTTTCTTTTACAGCATTTATAAAGCTTTGAGGTTACCTGTATTTTGTGTGAGATTATATGATTAATGTCCAACTCATCTAATAAACTATGAATGACACAAAGGCAAAGTCTGTGTCTATTCTGTTTATCATGGTATCTATCCTAATAGTGAGATAGTTAGGTGTTCAGTAAGTGTATGTTTTTGGAACAAATATCATATATGTAGTCACTAAGGAAGCTTATTCAGTGCTATAACTGAATTGTGTCTATCCCTTCCACCCCCACACATCCAAGAGTTGAAGCCTTAAGCCTCAATGTGAGATAGGGCTTTTAAGAGGGAATGAAGGTATAATGAGGTCACAGGGTGGGGCCCTACCCTGATAAGATTGGTGACCTTATAAAAAGAGGGAGAGGGTAGAAGAGAGGGGAGAGAGGGGAAATGGAGGTGGAGAGGGGAGAGAGGGGGTGAAGGAGAAATCTACCTTTTGTAGACATAGCAAGTGGCCATCTGCAAGCCAGGAAGACAGCTCTTGTCAGAAACGGAATTGGCCAACACCTTGATATTGGACACCCAGCCTCCATAACTGTGAGAAAATTAATTTCTGTTGTTTAAGCCAACCAGTCTATAGTATTTTGTTATGGCAGCCTGAGCAGACCAACACCACTCCAACGCTGGCCTTCTTTAAAGCCATTTTATGATCTGAGCAGAGCCATTTGTTTTAGAAACAGAATATACAAATACCATAGACAAATTCTCACTCTGTTTTAGAGGTTATATAGGACCTCTTTAAACTCCCAAGGCTTGTACTCAAAGAAAAGTTCTCTTCGGACACAGTACGCCTTGGTGCATGCCTTCCTCCCAAAGGGCTGGGTGGATTAACTTGGTTTCTTATTCCCCAGAATGGCAGCCACATGCTGAGGCCCACATTTCCCATGAGTCCAGGTGCTGGGGGTCATCGTAGCAGGTGTTTGGGGCTTTGACTTCACTCTGAAGAGAAAAGGTTACAAGAATGACTGGAAGAGCAGAGTGGTTGAAGGTGTTCAGCAGCCATATTCGAAAGATTGAAAAAGCTCTCATAATCTGTGATGTACCCAGAGACCCCATTCACAGGTTTAACAATCACTCACCTTGGAGAGATATGGATTGAGACAGATCTTGGCACCCTGCCTTGACCTCTGGAAACCCCATACCTTGTAGATTGTGATAAGCCCCATGCAGGAGGAGACAGAAGGTGGGCACAGCTGGAGCAGTTCTTTGATCAAGAGCCAACGAGGTGACAGGAGGTGGCAGCTGGATAGACCAGCCAGCCCCAGGAAGCCAGGCTAGCCACAGGTTAGGGAAGAAAGCTGGCCTTCTGTAGTCAAAGGACACGGAACACTGAGGTAGTGCAGTTATCCTGATTAACAGGGACAAGGACTCCTACTTCTCTTACCCACCAGGAGAGTCAAGGAGGATCATGGTCTTTGTTCTGCTCAGTCTTACGGACACCTGTGGCAACAAATTTCTATGGAAAATAAGCTATCATGTGGTCAGAATCAGAGGCCAATTTAGAAAGACTTTTCCCTAAGAAAACAGATGAACTGAAGGAAAGGATGAAAGAATACAAGGCAAGAAGGAGGCCAGTAAATGCCTGCACCAGGTTTTTGGAACTGAAGATAGAAAAATGACCTGTGAATTCTCAGTTGTTCTTTCCAGCCTTGCCCGGAAATGGTTTCTGCCTCAGGTTTTGGAGGGAGAGGGACACCTCTCATGACCAAGCCAATGGTCATTTTTTGTGTGCTTCCGACACCAATTGAAACAGATCCCAACATCCTGGGGACCCATCCCAGCCCTTAGAAACCCAAATGTTTCTAGAAGGCTCTTCGTCAGCCCTAAGGCATACTCAGGAATATGACTCAGCTAGCGATCCTTGAAAACCATCCCAAATGATGAAGATATTAATAACAGCAAAAATAACACTTAAAAATGACTATTGTGGGGTAATGCTAAGTACTTCTTCAGTTAATCTTCATAACAATCCTATGATACTTGTACTATTTTTATTCCACCTTAGTTTTAGGAAACTAAGGTTTAGTTAAGTCATTTCCTCCAATTATAAAGCAAGGAAGTAGGAGAGTCAGAACTCACACAGAGCCATAAATGGTTTGGCTCAGTGGATAGAGCGTCAGCCTGTGGACTGAAGGGTCCCAGGTTCAATTCTAGTCAAGGGCATGTACCTTGGTTGCAGGCACATCCCTAGTGGGGGGTGTGCAGGAGGCAGCTGATCGATGCTTCTGTCTCATTGATGTTTCTAACTCTCTATCCCTCTCCCTTCCTCTCTGTAAAAAAAATCAATAAAATAAATCTTAAAAAAAAAAAAAAAAAGAACTCACACAGAGATGACATAAAATGGTCTGGTCTGGTTTTCACCACTCCATTTTACTAAGATGTCTCACTTTGTTAGAAAATGTCCATAACCTCCATCAGCTTCCAGTCCCCTGTGGGTCTTAGGAGCAATATGACAGCCCCACACATCCTAACAGGAGAGACTAGCTATTTGGTACACTGGCTAGTTGTCCAATGCAGTTTCCCACCCAAATATTCTTCCATCAGTTCAAGTTGACAAAAAATAACAAAAGCAGGTGAATTGCCAGGCCTGATACTAGAAGCTGGTGGGGAAAATGAAAAATAAGATACCGGGTTTGCCCTCAAGGGTACTATCCCACAGGGG